GCTTGGCTTGACAGGTCTTGAAGCTTTTACTTTTGTGAAACAACCATTGCCCTAAAACAACTGTGGTATCGTAAACTTCAATCTATGCTCCTGGAGAATGAACGAGAACTGACATATCAGAGCCAATTGCCGAATATATGAATGAGGCCATCTTGGACCGTGTACTCCATTCAAACTCCATTCTCATCATTCACAGTGTTTCCAGGGGAAACCACAAGAAGGACCACCCAACTGAATGCCAACAGCAGAATCAAATCAACTAAACTGCTTTCATTTTAAGCCTTTAAGTTTTGGTTTTGCAATTTAAAACTACTAATTTGTGGGTTAAGTTTTGTGGTTGTAAGCCACTAATTTTTGGCCTAGTGTTGTTTGCCAGTGTGTTGCAGTAGATAACTTACACAACTACTAAGTTCACACAAGGCAGAAAATGGTAGATAAACACTGTGAGGTGTCGGAGAACTGTCACATGGATAGTGTTCTTAAGACTCCTGTGGTCTGGGGGACACAGAGATTTCCTCAACTAAAATAAGAAAATGTTTTCTGTTTACATTTCTTACAAGTAAGAAAGAGACACAGTATTTTATGGGCCTTTCAATTTGGGAAGTAACTGTATGTGAGGGTGCTATTCCAAATCTTTTATCTTGTGACTATAAAGGTGATTCATTTTCAAGGGGATCCACTGATAAAGGCAAAGCAGGAAAGAGTCAAGTCCCTTTGGGGTGAAAGTGAATGTCACTTGAGCAGTCAAGCAACCGAGAGCTAAGTGCTGAGTGTGAGGGGGATCAAGAATGATTCCAACATTGTTATGTCACCCAGACTCCTGTAGTTCTCTTGCTTGTATCCCGAGATGCCTTAACAATGGCCTGCATTTTCCCATGATATTAAGATCCCATTGATGAAGAAATTTCTGGAAACTCTTCTCCATCTTTAGGTTATTTGTGAACCTGACATGATAGGACTTTGACTCACATCTCTGTGGGCACTTCTGAAATCCTACCTATCAATATTTCCTTTTGCTGCTGAGGTAGAAGAGACTGTGTGACATGATGGGAACCTAAATACACCCAGTAGTTTTCCCACAAAGCTTGTCTCCTGATCTGAATGCCCCCACTGCCAGTTTGGGCTCTGTCTTTTCCCACAGCTGCAGGAAGGGTCTAGTGACATGACCAGATGTAGGGCGAACTTTGGCCAGTGGGAAAGGGAAGCCAAGGGCTACATTTCCCCCCCTTCGTGGCTATTTACAGATTGGAAAAGGAACATAAAGTCTCCCATAGAAGGGTCAGTGAGATCAAGAAAGGCGCTTTGGAAGTAGATACACTCCATATAAAAGTAGAGACATGTAAGAGTCTGGAATTTTGGACGTTGTATGGAAAAGGAAGAAGGAGGTTTGATGAAAGTAGGAAGGCAAAAGAAAGAAGAGCAAGAATGAGGAGAAAGGAAAGAGTAAGGAATAGGAAAGGAACAAGAAAGAATATTAGTGATCAAGAGTCAACAGTAATGGCTTACAGTCAAAAGGTAAAAGACATTTGTCTGAGGTATGAGCTAGAAGTAAACTTTCCACCAATTTCTCCCAGAAATCAGAGATTCAATCAAGAAGGAAAGAAGTGAATCCCCGTGTCACTACTTAATCAAGTATTTTCCAATCTAAAACTTTCAAAGGAGTAGAATTAAAATTCAATAAATAACCCCCAAATTGATATTTTAACATATGTGTTACATTAAATATTTAAAATCTTTATATATTTAAACATAAAAATCTCATGAACAAGATATCAAACATACACAATTACTTCTGTTTAGTGAAATGCTTTGAATTAGTAATATGGTCCTAAATGCAACAACTGACTGGTTTTTAAATTTAGCAAGTAAGGAAAATTAAAACAAAATTTTTAACACGTTGATGAGATCACTGTTAGTTCTCTATTGTGGTTCTGAGAATGGAGGGAGACTTTGGGAGGAAGGCTTTCCCCAAGGTCATTAACATTTTGCATCATTCTCTTTGAATAGACCTAATAAGAAGTAAAGAAAGGAGCATTGGTTGCCAAAGCCACTGTGAAATTGCAGATTTCCACAGGTGAGAGATAGAAGCATGAATGAGGAAGACTTGACTTTTACCAGCCCTTGAGTTTTGGAGGTCAGAGATTCTCTGATACTCATCATTCACAAAGCAATTCCTAAGGCTCTCTTATGGGTAGCTGCACCCAAATTATCTCAGAAGAGATACAAATACAAAACCAAATTCAAGCCCTGGACAGTACTGGTGAGATGTTTTTCTTCTAAAATTGAAATAGAAGGAAAGGAAAAGTTATGGAAAAGGGGAATTAAATAAAATTGCTATATTTTGAACACCTGTAAGATAATTGCAAGACACTGTTCTCAGAAATAAGGGAAGAATAACTTTATTAAGATGATGATCAGAAAGTACAGTGCATCTACACATGATTATAAGTTATATACATTTAGAATCATGTATAAATTATAGCAACATGATTGTGAAAAAGAATATAACAATACTTTCAAAAGAAATTGAGGAATTGTCATGTTTGAAATGCTCAGAAGGAAGAGGAAGAAATTCTTTGAGATGAGTCTTGATTCAAAGAGAAATAAGAGTTCCTCTAGGACCATATTGATTGAATAAAGGAAGGATAATATCCAGGCTTCTGTTTAAATGCCAGTTTCTTCTAATTGCAAACCGAGCTACATAATTCTCAGTTATCAAAAACTATTATGGAGCCCTCTTAAATTGAAGGGCTCTCTCCAGGGGAAAATAGTTGTTTTTGTTTGTTTTTGGTTTGGTTTTTTAAGTCAGAAAGAAAAACAAAGGAGAATAAACATGTAAAATCAAGGGGGTAATCTTTAGTCTGAATCTGAATTATTAATGCTACTATGATTTTTTACCATTATTATGATTATCATTATTTTGTGCTGAATAAGAGAAGACACGTCTATAATGATCATTCTATTAGCTCTAATATACAGACTTGAGGAAGTACAGACTTGTAGTTTCCCAAAAGCTGGAAGAAACAGACACAATGTTGCTTCAGAGACCTCTGAGAGCACAGAGTTAGGTAGAAGACAAAAGTACTAGGTGTGACAGATTGTGAGGGGATTTGGCCTCAGATGGACAAAAACTCTAAAACACTGTGCAACCCGTCCTAACCTACAACTAAAAGAATCCTTTCCATCTATGGCTCAGTTTGAGGAAGAACTTGTACGTTTGAATCAAGACTATTGCACATACCCCTTTCCATACACACATTCCGGTGTCTTACTACAGTGCCTGAAGTCCCAGCACTGAAGCTGCATCTGACATTATCCTCTTCCTAAAGTGATATAAAGTATCCAGTGATGACCTCTTTGAAATATGTAATGCTCCTCAGTGGGAGAACAGATATAAAGCTAAGATTAAACCTGAAAGATTAAAAGGACACATGAGGGATTACCGAGATTAAGAGCAAGTCTTTCCTTTTTTTTCTCTTTATCATTTACTGTTTTCTAATTAACAGACAAATGTTTAAATACTAGGACAGGGGCCCCTGGATGGTTCAGACCATTGGTTACGTGGCAGATGTTTGATTTCAGCTCAGGTCATGATCTCATGGTTAGTTGGCTAGAGACCTCAGATGGCTCTGCACTGACAGTGTGGAGCCTACTTGGGATTCTCTGGCTCCCTCTGTCTCTGCCTCCCCTCCACCCCATTTTTCTCCCTCTCAAAAATAAATAAATGGGGAGGGCACTTGTTGGGATGAGCACTGGGTGTTATATGGAAACCAACTTGACAATAAACTATTTAAGAAATGAATGAATGAATGAGTGAATGAATGAATGAATGAATGAACAGATAAGTCTATGGCAAAATAATTCCCAGGGAAGCCTCAAACACTGAGTCTAAAGAAGAGAACTTACCCCCAGATTTCATTTCCCCTCCTTTCGGATTCAAAACATCTTGATGTGTCACTAGCAGAATGAATGAATGAATGAACAGATAAGTCTATGGCAAAATAATTCCCAGGGAAGCCTCAAACACTGAGTCTAAAGAAGAGAACTTACCCCCAGATTTCATTTCCCCTCCTTTCGGATTCAAAACATCTTGATGTGTCACTAGCAGTTCCTTTTATTGCTTTATCTTCTTTTCTTTTCTTTATTTTATTTTTTTAATTATTTTATTTTTATTTTATTGCTTTTATCAGGGTTTCATGGCTATTCCAGCTGACAGAACTGAATTAATTTCATAGTAGATGTAACCGTTCATGTGATAGAGAATAATGAAATTGAAACTTTTTCATATCACAAACAGGAGAGCAGAAGCCCCTGAAACTAAATGATTTTTCTAGAGTTATAGCACCATTATCTCAGAATGAGATTGGGATAATTTTAGTCCTCTTTTTAACTTCACCCACCACCTCTTGGCTATAAGAGCTTGATATCAAATAGCAGACCATAAATTCATGAACACAAAAATCAGTTTCCTAAGAAGATCCTGCAGAGGACAACCACATTCAACTATTTGAACACTCATGGAAATATTCAGAAGGGAAAATACGGTACATGTTTTCATTTCTGTGACAAAAATAAAGCGTTTTTCCAGATATATAAATATTACCATATCCCCCCATCACTGAGTTGTTTCAAAAATTGAGTTGGTGGCTTATACAGGATTAGCACTAATAAACTAAAAACTATTTAGAAACAAATAGATTTTTAAAAACTTTTAAAAAGGTAAGATTCTTGATTAGATGTATAGCTTAGAGAATTTGCTTTATCTCTCTGGCCTTTGTTTCTTCATCTGAAGTGAAGGAATGGACTGTCCGACGGAGGTAAGATGATCAAAATATGGACACCTCAGTTTCTTTAAGGATGCATGCCAAGCAGTTGTGAGTACCTATTTTTCCATTTTCAACTACTATCATTCTCCATTTATCCTGAGTCAGAAATAAATGTCTTTTTTGCTTGTTATGTTCTTCTTTCAGATAATTTCCTTGTCTCTTGGGAATCTGGCATGTTAGACTAATTCCATGGAAAAAATAAACAATGTAACTGAATTCGTTTTCTGGGGTCTTTCTCAGAACCTAGAGGTCGAAGAGATTTGTTTTGTGGTGTTTTCTTTCTTCTACATGGTCATTCTTCTGGGAAACCTCCTCATCATGCTGACCGTTTACACGGGCAAGCTTTACAAGACTCCTATGTATTTCTTCCTCAGCTACTTGTCTTTTGTGGATATTTGTTACTCTTCGGTCACAGCTCCTAAGATGATAGTTGACCTATTGGCCAAGAGCAAAACGATCTCCTATGTGGGGTGCATGTTACAGCTCTTTGGGGTACATTTCTTCGGGTGCACTGAGATCTTCATCCTTACCGTAATGGCCTATGATCGTTACGTGGCTATCTGTAAACCCCTACACTATACGACCATCATGGACTGGGACAGATGCAATAAAATGTTGCTGGGGACCTGGATAGGTGGGTTCTTACACTCCATTATCCAAGTGGCTCTGGTCGTCCAGCTACCCTTTTGTGGGCCCAATGAGATCGATCACTACTTTTGCGATGTCCATCCTGTGCTGAAACTTGCCTGCACGGACACATATGTTGTTGGTGTTGTTGTGACAGCCAACAGTGGTACCATTGCTCTGGGGAGCTTCGTTATCTTGATAATTTCCTATACCATCATCCTGATGTCCCTGAGAAAGCACTCAGCAGAAAGCAGGCGCAAAGCACTCTCCACCTGTGGCTCCCACATTGCTGTGGTCATCATCTTTTTTGGTCCCTGTACTTTCATGTATATGCGCCCCGATACTACCTTTTCAGAGGATAAGATGGTGGCTGTATTTTATACCATTATCACCCCCATGTTAAATCCCCTGATTTATACACTGAGGAATGCAGAAGTAAAGAATGCAATGAAAAGACTGTGGGGAAGGAAGGTTTTCTCCGAGGCTAATGGTAAATAGTTGAATAACAATTTAAGCCGGATGATCTTAAATGTTCTGATATGTTCAGTGAAGACAGCAATAACAACATCACAGGATTTTTGGAGGGACAAGGGAGAGAATAACACATTCTACACAACTGGGGTATTATTTGTCATCGTTATTATTATATTTGTTCTAATATTTCAAAATCAGATAAATTTTCTGCAATATGCAGGCCAGAGGAAGTTTATTAAACTCACAAACTCAGCATGCTCATACTCAGCACCATTATTTCCTCCTCCCCATTTTGGCCTTTCTGCGATTTTCTTTAAAGAATGAGAGCCTACTCTGCAGCATTTAAGGCTGTTTTCTAGCATTTAGAACTGTGATTGAAAAATATTGAGCACTCAGTTTGAATGTGTTGCATCCACAGAAGTATACTTGAAAAATAACAGAGATCTGAGCTACAGTGCTCCGATATAAGTTTTCCAAAATGCAGTAGAAATTAACCTAGTGAGGCTACAAAGGGAGATGAGATGTGTTCAACATGCGAAAGGTAAAACACGCTTGAAAATGAAAGACCTGTTCTCATCTTCCGCTCTTGCGTAAAAGCTTTCCGTTCTCTAGGACACACTTTCTTTACCCAAACAATAATTAGGGGACAACTACCTTCAAGATCCTTATTGTAATTCTAACACCCCATTAATATGCTTCTGCTAACTGACTAATTTTGACTTGCACATAGCCAGCGGTCCCCATTACTATAAAGTGACCAAAAGAAAAAACTAAAGAAACTCAATGACACTAAAGAAAGACATCTGTGATGAGTAGGTGATCTGACTCAATCAAAAGGGCAAACCCAGTGCTGAAATGTCTGGTTTGGAAACTGTATTTCCTCCAATGTTTGAACCAAGCAGCTTTACTGAGTACAGTGAGACATTCATCACACATCTCTCCTTCACATCAAACAAACTGAGCTTTATTTTCCTATAACAAATGTACACATCACTGATTATCCCTTTCATTGTTTTATTGATTTTGCACAATTTTGATTATTCAAGTTACTACCTATACTTGGGTAAGTGTTTACAGCTGTGGAGTGTGTGTGTGTGTGTGTGTGTGTGTGTGTGTACGTTATGTTGAAAACTGTACATAGTGCTTTAAAAAATTATCTCTGATGTTGATACATTCATAAAATTAAAGATAAGAAAGGCGGCACCATAATTAGAAATTTTAATTTAAAAACCCTGGCCATAGGACCACACAAAGCCATGTTTATTGCTTCAGCTTGGAATCTCCATGCACTTCCATTTGCTCAGTTTTGAATGATGATTATGTCAGTGCTTCTCAAACTTATCCAATCATGGGAATCACCTTGTGAGAATTTTGAACAGATAACACAGTCTGTGCTAAGAGTTTCTAATATTCTAGGCCATGGTAAAGAGGTAGTCAAAAATCTGTATTTTTAATAAGCTCTTGCCATAATTTTTGTATAGTCAGTGGCACATCTGAGCACTTAGATTTGGAAACACTGAAATTAGATGATATTTGATGTTCTTAAAGCACAAGAGGTCTATGAGCCAATAAAATCCAAGGAACCCTACATTTGAACATATGTCCCTGTTGGTGCCTGGGTGGCTCAGTCCTTTGGGCTTCTGGCTATGGCTCCAGTCATGATCTCGCAGTCTATGAGTTCAAGCCCCATGTTGGGCTCTGTGCTGACAGCTCAGAGCCTGGAATCTGCTTCAGATCCTGTCTCCCTCTCTCTCTGCCCTTCCTCTGCTCACACTCTGTCTGTCTGTCTGTCTCTCTCTCTCTCAAAAATAAAATAAAAACATTTAAAAGATTGAATATATGCTCTTATCTACTCGACTTAACAATGCAAAGGGAGCTAAACTTGAACCAAATTTATGAACCAGTGGAATAAATAAACATTATCCATTTGAAAATCTCTTCCACAGGGGCGCCTGGGTGGCTCATTTGGTTGAGCACCCGACTTCGGCTCAGGTCATGATCTCAAGGTTCATGGGTCCGAGCCCCGCATCGGGCTCTGTGCTGACAGCCAGCTCAGAGCCTGGAGCCTGTTTCGGATTCTGTGTCTCCCTCCCTCTCTGACCCTCCCCTACTCACGTTGTGTGTCTCTCTCTCTCAGAAATTAAAAAAAAAAAAATTCCCTCCACAATATTCTTTCCTTCATGTCTTTGCACTAATAACATCTTGAATACCAAGCAATGTTAGATCTATTACAGGTCTGACATCCTTAAGATGGTAAAAACTGACAGGTTTATTATTTTCAAAGGCCAAGAAGCAGGATATATGAAAATGTATTCAAGTTTCTACCAGTGATTTTATACACTTCTGTCTGTTCACAAAAGTCCCCTGGGGTGAATCCAATCAGAGGAGCTCAGAGAGACTACTCTTGATTCCTTGGAAAGAGATAAACAAGAATCATTAGAACCTACCTCTCTTCCTTTCTGATAGAGGTGAGTCTGGTTTATAAGATGATTATTATCTCATAGACATACAACCACAACTTTGACTTCAAAACACTGGAGTTTTATAGTTTTCATAGTTTTACAACCTTGTTGTTACAAACGACAGATATGACTGTGAGTAGAGCCTTCATTGATGAACATAAATGGCAATGTTTCTCATTTACCAGATGGATAAACTAGTTTATTTCATAGCAGAAAATAATAAAAGTATGTCCTCTTATGTCTTCTAACCAGTGGTTACACTTCTGCCCCCAAACACAGCAAAAATATTTTAAAACATGTTTTCTTAACACTGTTCAATTTAATACATAAAGTTACTTTTCATGTTTCTCCATATTTCATCCTTCTTTTCCATTTTATTTATTTCATTTTTTATCTTTTTTTTTTCATTTTTAATCTCCAGGAGATTAAAACACTTGTCAAATGTCTGAGCCTCTGGAATTCACCATTTTTATAATAACTGAGTGGGAATGCCTCATTTTGACAGTGTTTTCATTCTGTTCATATCTTACACAATGACCAGTTTTGTTCTGAGATACAATGCAACTTCATCACTTTATCAAAATCTTCAAAATAGTCTTTATTTCACACTTTAGTATTAGAAAAATCCAGAAGTTAAGTGCACCAAGGTAAAAAGAGAGACAGACAATGTCAAACTTCTGTAACAATCAATGGTGATGACAAACATCACATGTATAGAACATAAACTCTCAATTTCAGCAAAGACTAATATAACATTTCTATTTTATGCATGAGAAAAATAGAGCTGTGTGACTACAGTAAACCTACCCTTAGATCAGCCGAACCCCAGCTTTTGCAAAGACATTTTAAATGCTTATTGTGTAAACTACAAGTAATGTTACACAGCATTATTGAGCTGACTGAGTTAAGAATCAATAGCATGTTTAAGCTGCAGAAGTGGGAATTTTGAACTGTACTCTTGAATTAATAAAACCTCCAGTATATTTAGTGTATGATACCTTGAGAGGAACAGTAAAAGGCCAAGCAAGAGAGATTGGCTAAGCACAGCACATAACCTTGGTTATACACATAAAGGACAAATTCTAAATACCTAAGCATGCAGCCAGTCTCCCTCCCACTATTTCATCCATGGATAATATGTAGGAAAACAAGAAAGTATGTATTGTTCTTGGGTAGGTTCCTTTCCACCCCTCCTTTGTTGATAAATTATAAGAATGTTAACAAAATATAAATAAGAGCCATTTTCAAATAGACTCTGAAAGGCTTGCCTTCAGAGAAAAACCAAATAATGAATTTGTCACAAAAAGCAATTTTAATTCATTACCAAATAATATGGCCTATATATGTGTCCATAACAGGCTTATTAAAAAAAAAAAAAAAAAAAAAACACCAGAATTGGGCACTAGCCCATGGGATTGTAGACATTTCTGTTCCCTTTCACCTCTCTGATTGGAGAATCCCATCAGGAGATAATCACCACCAGATCAACATCAAAACAAAATTCTCACTTAATCTGCTTTTGTCTTTCTTATCTCCCTTTCAATATAGTTCATTATTTTTCTGCCTTCCCTTATGTTCTAAATTCGCTAATTTGCAGGCATTACACATGTCAGGGTCTTTGGGGAAGAGAAAAATTGTTGCTGAAATCATCAACTGTGGCTAATTTCCACAAATGTACTCTGCACCTTAAAACCCAGATTCCTTCAGACTGAAGGAAATACAGGAAACAAACTGATGGTTGTCAGAGAGAACATGAGGTAGGGGGTTGGTCAAAATGGGTGAGGAGAAGTGGAAGATACAGGCTTGCCATTATGGAATGAATGTGTCACAGGAATAAAAGGCATACTTTAGTGATTATAGTCAATGGTATTACAGTAGTGATGTGTGGTGATAGATGGTAGCTACACTTATGATGAGCACAGCAAAATATATAGATTTGGCAAATCACTATGTTGTATGCCCAAAGCTAATGTGACACTGTATATCATGTATGCTCAACAAACAAACAAACAAACAAACAAACACAAAAACACCCTGAATTTTTGTGCACAAGAGACAATAATACTTCAAGTAAATACAATTCTATTTCTCTGTGAATAATTGGTGAAAAGGATGGAGCACCAGAAAATAACAGGTCTGTGTCTCTCATATTTGAAAGCTTCATCAACCCACTCTTCTCTGAGCCTCCATTCCTCCTAGCATGCTAGTAGATGACCCTCAATGATCTCAGAGACCCCTTCCCTTTCACAAAGCTCGAATATTCATGTCTAAACTGAGGAAACACCTCAATGCACCAAGGCTGGTCTTGGCCAATGCCCCAGTTTTCAGTGAGTTACATCTGCTTCTCAATCTAAACTTTTTTATTTCTCATTGATATGGGGCCTGCCTGAGTAGAAATGAGACAGTTTTGCATTGTGTGAAGAATTGGGAAGAAAACATCAAAATATGCTATTTGTATAAGGAGCAGTGATGATTAACAAAATGCACTCCAGGGACGTCCATCTATTTGGTTAAGAGGCTTCCTAAGCTTGGGGACTTCTACAGGGGGGGAGACTTTCCATG